TCACACACTTCTGTATCTCAAAAACCAGGGTATCTGACGCCCCCTTTTGGACTCCAAGGGAACTGCACATAGTTGATGCGCAGACATACATCCAGGCCCCCAAAAAAACCAAAAAAAAAAAAAAACCCTCATACACATAAAATTAAAACAAGCAAACAAACAAAAAAAATTTAAAAGAGAACAGAGTAATTCCATTTTCCAAATGTTTCTTAAGTTTTCTACATCGTGCTAGTAAAGTAACTTTTCTTTGTAAAACATTGCAACCCTGACTATTTTAAATAATTAAAAAAATTGTATTTGTTAATGCATTGTGTCTTGTTTGATTTTTTTTTTACTGCAATATCCCCTTCTTCTAAAGCAAACGCCTGCCAGACAGATATTTGCAAGTCCGTTATTGTTTTAAAGCGCCTGCCCCAGACACATAAGCGTTGATGGAATGCAATGGAAAAATAAATGTTTTAAATCTCAAATGGGGTCATAAACTGCAGCCAGAAGCTAATTGTCCTGAAACCTGAGCTTTTATAAGATGTTACTACTGTAGTGGGACCACTCGGCACTACTTTGGTGGGGTTGTTGTGTAATTGGGAGTAGATTACATGGCAGACGTAGATTTTTTTTTTTTTTAGAGATGTCAAATCAGACATCTCTGCCTACAACTGTAGCCCTCAGCCCAATTCTCCAAGCGATCAATGCATTTTACCCATTAAAGTACTGATGGGGAGTATTAATTCATATAATGCTTAACGGTTCACTGTGGACCTCTTCTCTGCCAACTTTCTTCCACCCAAGGAGTCCTGAAATGCTGCCGTTCCTGCCCAAAGAAAGGAATCATTTAAACCCAGCAAGGCCAGTGGTGAGCTGGAAGCGGGGCCGGGATGATATATAAGGGCTTCCCGTTTCTTTCACTGGAGACTGAGCTGCGTGCATAAAAGAAGCAAACGGCCCAGGAAGATCCCAAGAAAGCTTGGAAAATAGCACGAAGGGGAACCGTGCCCACTCCTTCTGTCTGGCGAATGGTTAGGCGACCTAAGAAATTATAACACTGTAATTTTATTGTTTTGGTTTTTGGGCTCTAAATTTGTCAGACACTCCACTGACCAAAAGAACAAGGGTTGCAGTATTCTAGCCAAAGTCTGAGCACCCCTGGAGGCCAGAGAAATGGCCACACTCATGTGTCAAAGTCTTAAGGAAATTAGGTCAAGTCTAGGGGAAGGCAGCCCCATGTCCAAGGGAACCTGATACAGCTATAAGAAGACTGCCTCCCAGGAGCCATAATCTACCCTCTTGGTGTGTTTGTTATTTGCTTTTCTCTCTTCTTTTCATTTTTCTTTTGAGACCACCTGCCTTTAAGGAACTTGTTTTCCACCCACAGAAGCTTGCAACATGACGAGGTTTGGGTATTAGAGCAGAGATTTGCTGGGCCAGTGGAATGACTGGGCAGACAAAATTGCTGGCTGCCAAGCCTGAGAACCTGAGTTTGACACCTGAGGCATCGCACACAGAGAGGACTGATACCTGCCAGTTGTTCTCTATCCTTCACATGTGTGCGGTGGTACAAGATTACACACACACACACACACACACACACACACATGCACACACACACACACACACACAATGTAAAATCTAAGCAAAATGGATCCCGTGGCCATAGTTGAAAAGCATGGTTCTACCATGACTTCTTCTAAACCCCTAGAATTCCAATTTTCCAATTTGCTTCTTTGCAAAAGGGATGGTGGTGGTGGTAGATCACAAAGATTTGAGAAAGAGTCAAAGGATTGGGGTACGAAGTGCCCAGTTTTTACGCAATCTTAGTTGTTCATGTGGTGTGGTGGCATTTTAATTATATTTTAATAAATAAAGCCTGCCTGAAGATCTGAGAGCAAAACAGTTCCACTGGTCAGCCTTACAGACCAGGTTATGACAACACACACCTTAATCCTAGCAGCAATAATGACACGCACCTTTAATCACAGTAGCCTCACTCGTTGCCATAGAAACCGGGCAGTCCATGCCACCTTTAACCACAGTGGTACACGCCTTTAGTGCCACTAGTGCCAGCTTTAGAGAGGAATATAAAATGGGAGAAAACAGCTCTCAACACACCGTCTCATTCTGAGATTTCAGGGGGCAGGATGGCCACTTCAGACTGAGGTTGAGGTAAGAGCCAGTGTCTGGCTGTTTTGCTTTCTGGATCTTCAGGTTGAATCTCCAATTTCTTTCTCTGAGTTTTTATTAATTGTGCTTCAATGTGGCGGTGATAAAATACCCTACAAAGGCAATGAAACTGAAAGAGATGGGGTCTGTTTTGGCTCATAATCTATCACGATGAGGAATCAGGGCAGTGGGAGCATGAGGCAGTCAGTCACACAGTATCCCTGTTCAGGAAACCAAGAGGCAAATGCTGGTTCTGTGCGGACCATCCCTTCTTTATTCAGTTTGGAACCCTAGTTTGTGAGAATGCATTGCTCCCATTTAGAATGTGTCTCCTTGCTTGCTTCCGTTAGCCTTCTCAAGAAGCTTCCTCTCCTGAGTATTTCTAGACCCTTTAGTCAGATTCCCAGTATTAACCATCACTGTGACTCTGAAGGAAGAACTGAGAAGGCCACTTCAGGCAACCTAGATTAATATCAGTATTCTAAGCCCGTTCACCTTGTGTTTTTCTGACTCCTCTACAGTGTATTCAACGGACTGATTTTTTTAAGACAGGGAGCAAGTAAACCTGGGTATGAGAGGCAGGAAATGG